TCGTTGGCTTGGGACAACCTCCGTCGGGGATGTCCGAGCGAGGGGTCAACCTTCTTCGTTTGGCACCTAGAAACTAGGGATCATGCTGTCTGGCGCCGAGCGCATAGGGATATGCTCCCTGAACAGGGGTACGACTTTAGAGCCTGGCTGGATTCCAAGAGAGGGGGTAAAGCTCCACAAGAGGATGATACCAACGATGAATCCATCCAGTCTCCTTTTACAAGCAATATTATGGAGATGGAGGTACCAAAGAAGTTTACGGTACCAAGGTTCAAAACTTACGATGGACGATCGAATCCTGAAGCCCATCTCAGGCAGTACAAGCAAATGATGTCTTTATACCACTCGGACCACCGGTTACTGTGTCGGGTATTCTCAATGAGCCTAGGGGACTCCGCCATGAAATGATTTGAAACTTTTTTGCCCAACAACATTGGGTCTTGGAAGGAGCTTACCAGAGAAAATGTCAAGCGATATGGGAGAATTGATGGCCCAGATAAATAAGTATTCCCAGATTGAGGATGAGAAGGTGGGGGACAAAGGGAAGGCTCTCGCCCCAAAGAGAAAGGAAAGGGAGAAAGAGGGTCCTCCTTTCCGGAAGGGATTGGTGCTCCCCATAGGGAGTTTCTTCAAGGGGGTTCACACTGTGTTCAAGGAGCCAATCTACAAATTGCTTCATAAAATCAAGAAGGAAGCCTTCTTCAAGTGGTCGCCCAAGATGCAAGGTGATCCGTCCACCTGAATCTAAAAGGTGAAGTGTTCTTATCACCAGGACTTTGGACACCTAACCGAGGATTACAGGGTCTACAAGTCCTTCCTGGAGAAGTTGGTCCAGGACGGGCATTTGAAAGAATACATCGAAACGACACCGGAGGAGGTTTGTAGCGCCAATAACCAAGTTGTCGTCTGAGGCAATGTAATTGACGTTATCCATGTCTGCCCCCTGGAGTGTCCGACATCCAAAACACTCAGATCATATCTCAAGAGGATAACTTTCACAAGAAAGGTGGACGAGAGGGATAGGTGCCAACCAAGCAAGAGGCCCCAAAGTAGCAAGGGGGAGATCACTTTTTTTGATGATGATCTGGCAGACGTAGTCTTTCCCTATGAAGACGCTTTAATTCTGACCTTGAAGATTGACAACTTTGACGTCAAAAGGGTCTTGGTGGACTTTGGAAACTTCTCCGAAGTTATGTACTTAGAAGATTTGAAACGCATGGGACTTAGCACCCAGGACCTTACCAAAGTTAGTACACCCCTTATGGGGTTCAACGGCTCTTACGCCCTACCTTTGGGGAAAATCACACTCCCAGTCACCACAGGGCCCATCATGACCAATACAGAGTTTGTGGTGATCGATTCTGACTCGCCTTACAATATTATTATGGGACGCGTCTGGCTGCATACCCTCGAAACTGTGCATTCAACTTATCACCAAATGTTGAAGTTCCCCACCCTAGAGGGAGTAAAGGAGATTCGTGGGGACTAGACATCGGCCAAAAATTGTTTCTATTCTGCGTAAGAGCAGGGGTTGCCTCCAAGGAAAAAGAGCGTGCCCTGGAAGAGATTCTAAAGAAATAGCAACTACAGTCCGGACGTCTAGGAGTAGACGACTCTCGGACGAATCCGACAGATTCCGACGCCCTAGCTTGCCTGGCCTCGGTGCTAGACTCCACTGCAACTCGAAGGATTACCATAGAATACCTCCCCAACTCAAGCATAGACGAGGTTATTAGGGTGGCCATCATCCAAGGAGAGGATCCCCCCAACTGGGCCGACCCACTACTTATGTTCTTCCTTTCTGGGGATCTCTCTAAATGTCCTAAGGAAGCCAGGAAGATAAGACCGAAGGCCCTAAGATTCTAGGTCTTCCCGGATCAAAAGTTGTATCAAGGTCCCTTCATCACCACTCCTTAGACCCCTTTTGATCCTCTCAACTCATTCCTTGTTGTCGGATCCACCATCTTGACGGGTGGGAGTTCACCATGAGAGAGATCTGTTCTAGTTTCATCTATTGTGCAAAAAAACGCCCGCATAGATGAACCAATTTATCACGACCTGTTCGGCATTTGAACGAACAGATTCCTCTATTCTGGCCTTTACCCAGATGAAAGATCCCAACGTATTCGTGTTTCGTGTGCAATGCAATGATCAGAGGCTTTGTCCATTGTTTTTACCCGCTCAAATCTCTAGGCTTTTACTTAGGCATACATTTTCCTCGATGGTAAAAGCTTGTACACTAGTATGTGCTGTAGGGTTTGGAGAAACTCTTCATGGGCAGATTTGAAAATTTGGGTTCCGATCACATGTTTACGTTGAGACAGCGTTGGTTGATTTTTACTCTACCTTACGTAGAATTGATGAATTGAAACAGGTGTTTGATGAAATGCCTGAAAGAGATGTTTTTGTACGGACGACGATGATTTCCGCACATGCCCGAGTCGGGGATATGGGTTCTGCATGGGGATTGTTTGACTAGATGCCTGAAACGAATACTGCTACATGGAATACGATGATTGATGGCTATGCAAGATTGGGGGATGTAGAGGCTGCAGAGCAACTGTTCAATGACGTGCCTATAAAAGATCTATTGTCATCGACAACAATAATCACTTGCTACGGGCAAAATAAGCAGTATACCAAAGGATTGGCAGTCTTTAAAGAAATGAAGGCTAACGGGGTTAAGCCTGATGAAGTGACTAGGGCAACTGTTATTTCGGTGTGTGCCCATATTGGAGTGCTTGACCTAGGAAACCAAACACACCTTTATGTTATTCATAATGGGTTTGATCTTGATGTTTATATTGGGTCTGCTTTGATTGATATGTATATAAAGTGTGGGAGCAAGGATAGATCACTCGTGGCATTCCTCAAATTGCGGAACAAAAACCTTTTCTGTTGGAATTCTGTAATTGAAAAGCTTGCTGTTCATGGATACACAGAAGAAGCATTGGCAATGTTTAACAGAATGGAGAACGAAAAGATGAAGCCAAATGGTGTTACTATTGTAAGTGTTTTGAGTGCTTGCACACATGCAGGACTAGTTGACAAAGGTCGTAGGAGGTTCCCTAACATGACTCTTGATTATTCATAGCTCCTGAAATTGAACACTACGGGTGCATTGTTGATCTATTTTGCAAGGCTGGTTTTCTGGAAGATGCTTTAGAGTTAATCGGAAATATGAGAATGGAACCAAATTCTGTTATTTGGGGTGCTTTACTAGGTGGTTGTAAGCTTCACAAGAACTTGGAGATTGATCAAGTTGCAGTGGATAAGTTAGTGGTTTTGGAGCCAAATAATAGTGGATATCACACCCTTTTAGTTAACATGTAAGCTCAAGCAAATCGACGGAGTGAGGTTGCTAAGCTCAGGGCAACCATGAAGGTACTCAGTAGAAAAGACATCTCCTGGGTCCAGTTGGATTGAAATAGGAAGGAAGATTCATCAGTTTGCTGCTTCTGATAGATATCAGCCCGCCTCTGTTGAAATTTACTCACTTATGAATGAGTTAGACGAGCTGCTTAAACTAGCTGGCTATGCTACTGAATTATTTCATTAAGATTTGTTCTTGAAGAATGGAGATGACATTCAGAGATAATGGAAATTTGAAGTAGATAAAGTTGTGCTATATAGATGGATGACGTTTGACTGAAACTGTAGAAGGCCAGGAAAAGGTGGGGGAAAATCTCCAAATCAAGTGCTCATATGGCACAGACTTATAGACAGATGCAACGGTAATTCAAATTATTTAAAATCCAAATATTTCTTTGATTCCCACTTAATTATTCCTATAATGGTCCTTGCAGGTTTAAACCCTGCTTCTAATTCTTGACAATAGATCATATCATCGCAAGATCAGCAACTTATGTTTAGATTCTTGTTTCTGAGGGTTTGAGCATCCCTCTTTGTTACTAACAGTGATTAATGATAATTTCTGAGGTTAAATTTGTTTTTTTATTTCCACTCCTACAGGTGGTGGTGACCTTCTGTGAAAGGACTGTATCTGGTTTACTTATTCTTCTCGTGAGATTGGAATTGTTGCTGTGTTACATGTAGCAGTGAGAAACATACCAAGGACATATTGTTGAGGCGCCTGAAGTGTTTATGAGGTTTATATTGGATAGGAAGGCGAAGTAGTTTCCTGCAGAGAATAAACACAGTTGATTTGGCAATCAATTGAGAGATCAGACGGAGGCTAGTGTTTGCACCACCATTAGAGTGGCATTCCAAACCTTTCTATCATTTTCTTCATGAGAATTGCTTTTATCTTGGAGAAGGGTGTTACAGTGGTTCTCTCGGCTCTTAAACGTTGCAGATTATGCCTAGTTTTGAACAAAAAATTCTCCACCATTCCAGTTGGTCATGTATGCATATTAAAGCTCAATTTCCAATGGATTGGTGATGAGAACAAAGCCAAAGTTGCAGTTGCTTGTCCAAAGACAAAATTTAGGATCCACGTAGACACTAGAGAATATTTAAAAGCATTCTTAGGTAGAGGTTGAATACTTCAGAATACATAAAGATGTAGATAAATTCTGTCAGAAGGTAAGATGTAGATTAATTGGCAATAGAACAGAGTAGCTATTATTTTTAAGGATATTTAGGAGCCAATTGAGCAGCATTGTAATACGAGATCAGCATTGGTTTCTTAAAGTTTGAAGTGAGGAAGGGCTGAGGTACCATCTAGTCCTTTTGCCAGGTAGTATGCATGGTATTCTCTGGTGTGAGTTTCCCTGTATATAGGTGGATTGATGTCTGATTGTAACTCCTTAATTGGTCCGTATTTAGTGGCAGTACCTGGGAAGAAGAAACATGCTGCTGATATCCTGGGGCCAACTCGTCCAGCCAGTACTCGATGCTCCACACTTTTGAACTTGTCATTGGTTATAAGCTACATAATTTAGGAAGAAAAAATTAAGTTGTGATTTTGGAGATTGCGGAACAATTAGAACGGCATATTCTGTAACTTCACCTGCATAAGCTCTCCTGCGTTTGCTATTAGGGCTCCTTTCACTGGATGCACATCAACCCAATGATTTTGGTGAAGAACTTGGAGGCCACCAATGCTGTCTTGCAAGAGAATAGTCATGAAAGATGGGTCCGAATGCTTGGCTGTGCCTAGAGTCAAGTCTGGTTCTGGACAAACGGGGTAGTAGTGGCACACTAGTGATGCAGTTTTCATGCAACCAATCTTTTCTAGGTAGTCACTGTTAAGCCCCAGTGCTTCTGAAAGTAGTTTCGACAGTTCCTCCTTAAACCCAATCATGCATTTCATGTAATCGCTTATGGCTTTCCTGCAAATTATAAGAACGTGTTCTAAGAATTTATGGAATACATGGCAGGTGATCAGGAGTTTTGGGTTCTGCAAGTTACCTGCAAATGAAAGGTAATGCATCAGAGTCCAGCACACCGTCGTCAAACTTACAAGCTATCGAATCCCTCCAGTCCGCAGCTTTGGATACAAGCAGATCTCCGTTGCTGTAATACTTTACTTTCTGCTCATAATCACGCGAGTACCAATCCATCTTCGCCTGCTGGGATTGCTCGTGGAAAAGCTTTGTGCCTTCTATGGCCTCTTCCATAACAATAGTGGGAATTCCATGATTAACCATTTGGAAGAATCCCCAAGTCTCCGATGCTCTGATTATTTGATTGACGATTTCCACTCGTCTTCCACTTTCAAAGCCTTCGAGATTTATCACTGGGACCTGGAGATGGTTACTACTACCAGTATGAGGGGATGACTTTTGGAGGTTTTCAGGTGGATGAATGAAGATTCTGGGGATCTTGATCACTCCAGTGTCTAAGAGTCCTTTAACTCCAGCTTTGGTTTCATCGAACTCCTTCACTTCTTTTGCTCTATCGTAATCGAACCCGTCAACGGTAGCTTCTCTGGTGTTAGACATGATTTCAATGGAGACACTGATTAGCAGCCTAGAGAGGGTTGTGTTGTACTGAGAGTATTTCTTCGTGGCTTTGGCTTATAAAGTATACAAGATGATATTTCTGTTTGGCTATTTAATATCACTAATTTCAGGAGAAGGAAATATTTATTAAAGCATGTGGTCCAATTTAAGCCACGATTATCAGCCGTCGAATTCGAGATAATAATTGATCCAAGTCTCTATCTTAAAAAAAGAAAAAAAAAAAACATGTTCAATTTAATAGTAACTTATTTATTAAAACATAGGGCCCCTAAAACATAAAATAAATCTTTGAGATTCGATTATCTTGCATTTTAAGTTGAGGTAATAGTATTTTTGGTCATTAAAATATGCACGTTTTGTCAATTTGATCCTTAAATTATTCAATATATGTTTAAATAATCTTTATAAAATAGACCCTTATGTTTTTTACAGAATATTAGACATGGTATCGTTTGAAAAAATAACACCCAGTCATTTTTATAAAAAAATTTGATAAATTGTTTATGAATTAAAGTGATACAAATTAAAATTTTAAGTATTAATTTAATATAATTAATATAATAAATATCTTTCTCATGTATAGATTCATTGTTACAGTCCTGAAGTCACATCCACCATAAAGACCACATGTTTCATATGACTTTGAGGTGAAACTGTGGGGTCACGGCAGTAATGTTAGTGTTTGGGCAACAATTCCATTCGGTTAGGCTCACGTGGTGTCACCGTTGAAAAATTATCTAAACAAATAATTTTAGTGATAATGAAAATAAACTTTAAATTAAGGCCTTTTAAATTTAAATTTTATTAATTTTTTGAGGTTAGATCATATATAATTTATTTCTCATAAATATTATAATATTGATATGAATAGTCTGTCTTTAATTGAATTGAAAAAAATAATAATCAAAATACGTATAAACCAACTCAAACATCTTTAACCATATGTCAAGGTTAGAATTTTAGATGTCAAGGTTAGGTATGCAACAATATGCACCACATGTTAATTGAATATTATGAGAGATATAGACAGATTGAATATAGATTATAATTTGACTAAGAAGACGACGACGACTTGATGATTATCCAAAAATGTCTCCAAATTAACTAAATTAGCATCTGTAGTGAAAATTATTGAAAACTATAAAATTTGGTACCTAATTTATAAATAAGTTCACGCATGGACTTTTTAAATTATAGGTCCAACTAAGTTAAAATTTTTTGTTCTCTAATTCAAACTAATTATATTATTTTTTGTTTATTATAAAAATACCCCCATTTAGATTCATACACTTACTTCCGCGGTCACCTCTCCCTCGTGGGAAATCAAAAACCATAAATTGCAATCAAACGGTTTGATTTGACCTCCAGCGTGATAGTTTTTCCTGCCAATGTTTTCGCAAAGATCTGCATCTCTCTCTCTCTCACCTTGTATTGGGGAACATTGATGAGAAGAGTTTGAATTTGAAACAAATTTCTTCAGTCTTCAAAGACATGTGTTTCGAATCTAGAAGATTTGTTCTCATCGACGACCTTTGTGTGTGTGTCTCTCTCTTAACTCGATCGTAAAAGTTGATTCTCATTCACAGGTTCATTTAGTCACTAAATAATGGTTGATGTTCAAATTTTATTTGCACATTTCGGATTTTTTACCACTTTGGGACTTTGTGAATTGTTTGGATAACTCCTATGATGGCCTTCTTGGACATTGCTTCTTCGTTGAACAATGGTTAATGATGGTGTGTGCTGCATAATTGAACAAGACCATAATTGCTAGGGTTAGGCAATCACCGGATGATCCAGTTAGAGTTTTTGAGTTTTTCAGAATTGAACAAATGATAAAGGAATGCAAACAGGGAGTTTATGGTTCACCAGCTCAGAAACTCGACTAATCCACTCTTTAGCTAGTCTTTTACTCCTGAGGAAGATTTTATTGATAAAAGGGAAGATTACACAGAATATTTGTTTATGCTAGTTGTTTGGTCTTCATTGTAAGGGATATGCCTCTTATTTATAACCTTCTAAGGTCCTGTCTAATTTCTCCGCGTGATCCTTGCCCCTTATCTATAAGAGATGCGTTTGTTAAGCAGTCACCGTGAGTGGTGGCTTGGCAGTTGTGGCTCTCGCCTGAATGTAAGTCTGTAAGTCTGTTGCGACTTATGCGAAATGCTTTGGTGGGTACCAATTGTCATCCTTGTTGTCTCCTTGGCAGCAATGTTGGTGGGTAAACAAACTTGAGCACCTTTAGCAGCTCGCCATGAGCTACATGATTCAAACTATGATAACCAAGGTGAATGACCAAGTTCAACCATAGCCAGATTTTGAGTTTCATCAATTACCCTCAGTCCTCGGCCAGGAAGATTTTGTCTTATATGGGCTGGGGTTGATTAATGCTTTAGTGGGCGAGGTCAGCTAGGTTTGGCGGTTGACCTACCACGTGATCAACTTGGTTTGTCCTCAGGATCTGCCCAATGGAACGTTTTTCAATTTTTACGGTGTTGCAAGCATGTGAGGAGTCAATTCTGCCTCGTTTCCCACTCACGTTCATCATTTCTAGCTCCACGTATCCGTTCATACGAATGCCTTAAATTCATCCGTAGGCTAAACTGCTTTGTTCCATCATTTCGAATTCTTT